CGTCATACGGTGAGACCGCGGCACGCGCGGTTCACGTGAGCGACTTGAGTGCGGATGTGCGTGTGCTCTCGAAAACGGAATAAGCAAGGACCACGTTGTCGTGTTAAACTCATATGTAATAAGTATTACTTGTTTGTGTTTAATTGTTAATTCTTGTTTAACAGTCAATTCGAATTTAATAGAAACCAGTGGATGAGACACGTGGAACCATTCAGGATTGTGTAGGAAAGAGCATTGCTTTCGATTCTTATTTTATAGGTTAGGAGTTATAAAAATCTGTATGATTGTTTATCGTATCCAGTAATGTTACTAATAAAAGCTTATTTTATAGGCATCGAACGGCTATATTTCTTTTCCCGATTCTGGAATCGACGAGAGTTGATAAACACTCTTACAAATTTTATCTAAAATTATAGAATATTTCAATACTGTTTAAAAAATGTGCTTTGTATTTACATAGCCTAATGCAGTTTCCGGATCTCGTAATTTTGGGAAAATTTCTACTATAATTTTGGCAAACTGACATTTATCTAATGAAGTTAATGGACACTTTAATTTTTGTTTCAAAGTAAGCATTTGAGTAACCACTATGTTAATTATCCGTCTTCTACTTGTCTCACTTAAAAATCCCTTCGTATTATATTCTTCAAAAATGTCTTTTCCACACGGATTCTCTAAAATAACTTTTCTGATGATCTAAAAATTATAATATAAGAGATCGTATTAAATAATCTATCTTTAAATATTTTTTAATATATTATAATTATATAAAATAATAATGTTTTAATACTTCTTTTGTAATAATTTCTTCTTTCATTGATTTCTTGTTGATGTAAAAATGATAAATTATATATATTTTGCTGAACAGGTCCTGGCGCTTCATCTTCTTCAGAAGTATCGATAGTTAAATTAGAGGAAGAACTTGGTATTGGGGTTGTTGAATAATCTAAATCTATAAAAAAATAGCCGTATATATGAATAATAAGATTTATACATATGCATAACTTATATTTAACATAAAAATAAAGAACTTACCTTGTACAACTGGTTCATCTACTTCAATTATAATAATAGCACCTCTTCCGGAAAACTGAATGTGTTCAATTAAAAATTCACCTGTTAGTAAAGCTTTCTTTTCATCGTAGAATTTAAATTCATTATTCTTTAAATTCGAAAATATTTCTTTTGCTAAAAAAATATAAGAAATAAAAATTGTAAGCAAAAGGAAAAATGTTATCAATCCAAATAATATGAAACGTGTTATATTATTTAAATTGTATAATACCTTTTGCCTCAAACATTTCATAAGTATATGGATAAAGAACTTTTACCCAATGCCTTTGATTTTTATATTCAAAAATAAAACTCATTCCATTTGATGGATTATAATAAGTGCTTTGTAGCAAAGGCTCAGGGAATGAACTGAGATCGTTATCCGCCATTCTAATAATTAATAAATAAGAATTAAAGGCTTTTGAATATTCATACCACTACTGAACTATGACATCAGAGATGAAAAATGATATGAAATTTTGCATACAATTTTTAAATAAAAAGATATTTTAATAAAAATATAAACTATAAATTGCTTAATAGTCGAAAAATGAGAAAATCGTACACACAATATATTTCAATCCACAATACTAACTTCAATGACACCTCAATTTTATTTGTTTCACTTTATTCGTTTCACGGGTAATTGCAAGTAAGTTGCCTACTAAAATCACGAGATAAAATGCTGCCGAGAATGTAGCGTTTCTTCTTCTTTTAATTAATACCTTCCCACAACGAGCGAGATATGGCCAGAAACAAAGTCTAATATAAATAGATTCACAACTAATAACGTTGCCCACGAGGAAGAATGTAGCGTCGTATGTTATCCTGCTTGACCTCACACGGAACAAAACAAAACAGAACTGACGAGTCGTTAGAGACGATACGGGCAGACTAACGATATACACAACTGACCATCTTTCGTAGACCAATGTATCGAATAAATAAATGTTGTATTAAATATTTCACCTGTTAATATTACAGCTTTTTATGTTAATATATTTCATATAACTTTTTTTAGTGTAAATTAATACATTTTATTTTTGAGTTATATTAACATACGAATACTTAAAAGGAAAAAAATAACATTTAGTTTTTATGTTATATTAACACAAGACAGTAGTTATTTTAACTTAAGCTATTTTTGATAGAAACATTTGATTTTAGTAAATCTGTTTACTTTCAAATATATCAAATAATCATTTTTATAACATTTTTATGTGTTACATTTATGTCAACTTTATAAATTAACACTTTGTGTATGTTTCAAAAATGGAATATTTTTGTGAGTACTTTTAACACAATCATTTTAAATAATTAACATGTGTCAAAATTAATTTAACATGATTATTTGAAGATTTACTTCAACGTCTTTTAGAATGTTAAATTAACTTTGAGACATGTTGATTATTTAAAATGATTGTGTTAAAAGTACTCAAAATAATATTCCATTTCTAAGAGACATACACAAAGTGTTAATTTATAAAGTTGACATAAATGTAACACATGAAAGTGTTATAAAAATAATAACATATCAGTGGTATGTTAATTTTACATTGAAATAGTAATCAAAACATGGTAACACAAGAAAATTTTAACATATGGACGCACAAATTTTTACTGTGTAGGAAACAGTATTGATATTGTTGCATCTTCAAGATCGTTTAGGTAGTTGAGTTTCTTTTTTTTTTTGCTTGCCGATCTCTTTGTGGCCCGCTATGTTACCTCTAATTTGACATTTGGCCCCCTAAAACATCTAATTAAGTTTCCCTGTTCTAGCGCGACTCGCCTTACTCGATTAGAAACGCTTGATTCATAACATTTATCGTACGCTGTGTCGACCGACCGGCCGAATACACACGGACGCGTGACGTTCTCACTTGTGTGGTGCTCGTAACCATACGAGGGGGCTCTGCCCCTCACGTTGCCTGTTGCACGGAACTCGAGTTCGCATCTCTCTGTGCATAAGAGACTGTATGAATCCCTTTCTAAATTAAAATTATCATTTGGCATTGCTCTTTATGATTAATACTTTTGTTTTAAGAATGGAAACAGAAAAAAACAATTTTTAATGCAGATGTCTTGTAGATACATTATATATTGTCACGTCCCGATGTGGTGGCGGTAACACGTAGTGTTCGCGCCTTTACGCGAGACTCAATCGGTAAGATTCACGGACCAATAAAATAGTAAAAGATCAGAGAAGAATATGAAAACATGAATGTTGTAATTTAATATAAATATTGTAACCAAAACCGCCTTCTAATGGATAGCGAATTCAAATGAGAAATCGTAAGGAAAGCAGTATCGCGTTGATATTTTGTTGCTCCTTACGCGAGCAGTGTATATGAACGATAATTAGGACCGTTTTCTAATGAATAATTCAAATAATAAATTCAAATAAAAAATTCAAATAATAAATCGTAAGGAAAGCAGTATCGTGTTGATATTTTGTCGCGACCCTGCAAAACAGCGTGTATAATAATGATTAGAACCGTATTCTAATGAGTAGTAATTCAGATAGAGACGAATAATGAATCGGAGTAAGACCACAAGAATATAAATATGATAATAATACAGAAACGTAATATGAAATAGTAATCAACCATTGTGACTAACGTGTAGTTATTTAAGTTTTGCTATCACGCAATCAGAATAAAAGAATCGCCAAATACCATTAAATAGACATTGACCAAAATTTTAGGGGAGTAACATTGGATCTCGTTGATCATAGAAACTTTCTCCGTTCTCGGCAAAAGTTTGCATATAATTAAGATACCTGTCTTCGCATTCGTAACACTCGGAAATCGGTTGAATCAACGCGAGATAACAATGGCAAATGATGCAATGTAATCTTGGGCGGCGACGGCCGACGGATGCGTAATGCCTTTCATTCAAAATCACAAATAAACTTTTATATTTAATCGGTTCGCTAGCAATACATTCCTTGCAAAGACGCTCTTTTGCCGTAGGATTCACGTAGCTGGTTTTGCGAACGCAGTTAGCTAAGGAGTACCTATAAAGATATTCTAATCGAGGCGACCGACAAGCGTAGCGTTTCCCCACACACATATCAATTATTTAGGCGTTAATTAATTAGACGATTGATTTAACAGGCTGGTTATAACTAGAGTACGTATTCCCGGCCCTCCGCCAAGTAGCACGCTGGTAGGATCGGGAAGATTAACAATGCTTTGTCCTTCTCGAGTCAATTGATTTGTTAGGCTTATAAAATGATTGAGACACGCGAGACAGTGACGCACTGGAAAAGGTTGAGATACGTTCTGGCCACAAACACGACACTTTGCTAATGGAACTATAGAACCAATATTCAGATGATGTCCGAGGACGTGTTTGAAATTATTGCGTGTTGGTTTCGACAAATCGTGATAACAATTGAGACACAATATCGTGCCAGTATTCTTATTCAAGCACGCGTTATCCAAGATACAGTATACGAAACGACAATTACAATTCGAGTCTGGACACGGAGATGTTATTTCAGTATCTGACATTGTTTCTCCCTCAGATTTTGATTTTGAACCTTCTCATGCAAATGAATTTGGAACGGACTCACCGGTGTTGACTTGTATGGTACCTGAAGCCAGTGATGGCTCAATTTAATCGTGAGGGGGCCGATCGACTCAGGATCGATCTTCCAATAGCAGGCTGATAGTCATGTAGAGATGAATCTTCAGATGCATCATTGTTGCTGGTTATTGTTATTGTTGCTGGTTATTGTTATTGTTGCTGGTTGCGGAGGGAGTGTCTTTCCTATTATGTTGTGGTCGGAGAATCGCTGCACTAGAGCTATTTCGGCACAACACGTCTTTACCTTTTATTGTTCATTGAAATTTAAGGATCGCACACTAAGTTGGAATAATGTTTAAGGATTTGAAATTAAAGATAAAATTCTCAATTTTACCAAATAAATGTAATTATAAATGAAAATAAGAGTACACTGTTTATTTTTTTCTGTCTGTATCGCGAGAATAACATCCTACACATATATAAATACATATTAAAATTATTTCATTAATAACATACATTAAACGAAATTACTCAAATGGACTTATAAAATAAGAATTCTTACAAACATATAAGCACTTATGTTCTAGAAATGGAACGCGCAGTTCGCGGATTAAGTACTTGAACGTATAAATTGATGAACCAAACTTAAACTAACCGTACTGAACTAGGACGAAACTAGAACTAGAATTGGACCGAGACTGAGTCAGAATTGAAAACTGCAACTGCGAATAAGACGAAACTGACGACTTGACCGAAACTGACTCTCTGACTGACTCTGACTCTCGGCGGCCTCGCAGGACCCGTATTTATACCATTCTGGATCTTTAGAGACAAAGGTGTGTCCTATGCAATAGGACCGCACATGGATCTAATCGCGCCTTTGAATATTGAATGTTCGAGGCATGGTTTGTATAAAACTGCAGGCGATACCCGGGCCTAAGTTTTAAGAGTGATATGGTTAACATAAAACCGTAGGTGATATCCGGGCCTAGGTTTTGAGAGTGACGACAGATAATTTACAGTCATACGCTTTAAGAGGATGCTGGAGTGCCTGACGAACTCCGACGCGAAAGCGCCATCATTTCGATGGAACTAAAAATGAGAGTAATATTATCGGCATAAGTCATAATCTAAGTATGAATGTATTGTGTATGCGTATGTGTGGTGCGTGTATATATTCGCATATTATTGTATAGCGCCTCTCTGATATTATCCTGGAACTAATCTTCTGTTATTTTTTCATCTGTTATACCGATATTGGACGCACACGTATGTAAAAATAGTCGGACAAGAATATTTTTTACATTAGACTTTTCAGCCCAATTTTAATGGTTCCATAACATTCTATTCTGCAGTCCGGAATTCGGGCTGCTCTTATTCAGCGTCTTAAAACTGTTAAACTTTTATAAAAAACGAAAATAGATAGCTCTATACAATATGTTATCCTAAGAGCAGAATAGAAATTAATAAATAGAAACAAATTTTGTTATTAATTCTTTTTTTCCAAATAAAGTCGAGCAGCCCGAATTCCGTTTTTGTGTACACTTTACTCCTGCAAAAGGGTTTACAATTCTATGCAACCAATAAAAGATATTCTTGTTCGAAAAATATAATGTCCGGCCGGTAACTCCAGCATCCCCTTAAAACGCAATAAGGGGTTTACGTTACGCGAAAGGTTTCGTGTTGCGCCTTTCTGGTAACATGTGTCGGGCGCTATTGATACAGCGAGCGATAATTCCGAGAGGTGATAAATTAGAAAGTTTAAACAAAAATTTATGAGTAGAAATCTACTCGCTAAAATATGGGGACGTTACAATATATAAAATATGTATATTTTATTATACGTAGTCTTTACTGAAGATTACAAGAATATACAAAAAGAGTTATTTAATCTGAAAAATTTTCTAAAATCGTTTTATCAAATAAAATTCAATTTATTGAAATATATCATTTATTTTTTTCTGTCTGTATCGCGAGAATAACATCCTACACATCCTACACATCCTACACATATATAAATACATATTAAAATTATTTCATTAATAACATACATTAATGTTTGTAATATATGCTTGAACGGAAAAAATCACGCGCAGCTAACAAAGTACATTAATTATATCTATATGCGAGACGTATTTCTGTTCAATAAATTGTGGATGTAACACGGACATGAATCAACCATGACTCTTTTACCATCCCGGAAAATGGATGTAACACGGACATGAACCAACCAGGGCTCTTTTACCATCCCGGAAAATGGATGTGGCTATGTAGGCAGACTGTAAAATGGATGTACGCGCCGCTAGTATACGGCCTAGAAAAAGCGTCGTACAAAAAACGGCAGCGTGGCCCCTCTTAGGTTTCTCTCTGCCTATACATATATAAGTAGATGACGAACAATAACCTTAAATACTAAAAAAATTAACGCAGGAAATACAAGATAAAAAAAATGGATAAAGTTCCGAAAAGTCTACATCTCCGACTTGCTCCAAACTACGCTTTTTATTGTATTTTTGCGCGCTGATTACGAATATGACCATGCTGATTGGCGACAAGGTCATTTTCAAAGTCAAAACTACTTAAAACCTCAAAAATTATCGTTTCTTTTAACATTATCTTGATAAATATTGATGTAACAAAGAAATGTTTCAAATAAAAGTTGTAGCTCTTAAAAAAATACATTATTTATGTCCTATGCATTTTTTGCATAGCACCAATATTTTTTTAAAAAAAGCAGATATGCAGATATGCAGGAGTAACAGTATTGAATTTTGATAGACGATCAAAAGAAATACAAAGTTTTTATGAATATCATCTACAATATTTTAACATGTGTCCTGTAATGATATGCGAATAGAACATTCGCATATTAGCAATGAATGCTATTGACAGTGAAGAAATAAAATTATCTTTTAGAAATTTCTTAAGCGCTATTTTGCATCTGTTGGAGGAGGTTTAGCGAAAAAACCAGGAACAAAATTTCCTTATTTTTTTCATAGAATACGAATCTGCAATAAAAGGCGTTAAATAGGCGTTTAAAATCTTAAATAGGCGTTTCCATAAAAAAAAGTCAACTTGGGCCTTATTGAGCCCAAAGTGGGCCCCGGACCCAAAATCTAGCCCATCTGATGGCTTTCTTCAAACCCTACAACTTTTGTTTAAACATTTTTTTCGAAAATGCATTGTTTTCGAGATAGTGTGGTGTCTAAGTTAAAATGGGACACTCTGTATATTGAATTTTGACCTAAAAAGTGAGAAATTATGTGAATTCTTTTTTGCAGCATTTGTTGAAGTAAAATGATTTTTTCACGATACCATTCGCCTTTAACACATATATCATACCTTTAACACATTAATTAACAAAATATATCGAAAATACATTTTTATTATCCTGCATTTTAATAAATCTTTATATAATTCATGTTTTCAACTCGTTTTCAGTGAAATTAAATTTCTCGATGATTGATTGAAGTTTGTAACTATTTAATCTACAAACCGAAAAAAAGTATATATTCAGTATACAGAAAAAAGGTCATTAACATGACTAATTACTATTTAGTTAAAAATTATTTCTTTATTTCACATATTTATATATTTATGTTAACCCTTTCATTGCGATTGGCGTCTATAGGCGCGTATATACAGGGCTGGGCAAAAAGTATTTGAAATACAAAATACAGAATACTGTCAATCTTAGTATTTTGATAGAAGATTAATAGTATTTTATATTTTGTATTTGATAGAAGATTGATAGTATTTTATATTTTGTATTTCAAATACTTAATGATGTATTTTGCCCAGCCCTGCGTATATATAATGTACAGTTGGTGTCTAAGGGCATCTAAGTTCGGTCATCTTATACTATTGACGTTCAATTAACATCGCTCAATATGAACTGTAAGTGCTTATGACTCCTCCAATTATTTTGCCAAGAACTTTTCAGTACTTAAATATTATTTGCGTTGTTTACGAAGTTATGGCATTCACAATATCAGTCGCTGCTGAACGTCTATCGCCTGTAGTATACGCTTTGCACCGAAGATTTTTACAGCGAAAGGGTTAAACATGCATCAGTAATATTAACAGATTTATATAAAATGATTTGATTTCATTGACATATTTAATTTATTGTTAAAAATATGAAATCATAAATTTCATAATTTATTGAAATTTATGATTTTATATTCCTATTCCTATTTTCTTTCTTATTCCTTTTTAAATTTTATATTCCTAACTAATGTATAGATGATCTATATATAGTGATAATATATAGTGACAACGCTAAAGCAAATAAATAATGCAGTTAATAAGTTGGACTGGTTTAATATCATTTCATGTTTACTAAAACATATCGCAAAAGCAAAAAATATTTGTTTGAATTTATCCTTTTTTTCCTTAATGTATATTTTATTGATTTATGGAATCAAATGTGAATGATATACAAACAAACTGTTTAATTTATATTCTCTCGTTTCGAATCTAGTTATAATAAACTTGTATTAAAAAATTAGAAGTTTAAAAAAAACTCAATTCTAAAGATCATTTAAAAAAATTAATAATGAATTAAAACGTTCAGTAATCTTGAGATATTCTATATATTGGATAATCAAAAAAATGTTTGACACAACTGACTTTAACAATAGTATAAACATATTCACTCGCTTATGTGACTGTGTTACAATATAAGAACTGCAATATGCCCCAAGTGATCTCAATAGTAAAAACAAATCAGAATTATACGGATATTATTACTGTTTTTTAAAGCTCTTCAGAATCGGGTAGATGTTGTCGAAGGCTTCATAAATTTCCTTACGAACCTTTGCACCTAGCAACATATAAAAGCACGAAGTATTAAACTCAAAACATACAAATACAGAAATAATATTTTTGTTAATATTAATGTTTATATCCTAGATTTAAAAGTAAGAACATCAAAATCTATTTTTTTTTTATTTTAGCCCAATATTGAATGTATTCTGCTTAACAGTATATAAGGTATAAAATATATAAGATTGCGACAAAAATGGAGTAAAATATATAAAAAATAATAATTTTTAGTAATTTACAACTTTAAATGCATTAAGAAATCTTTTTCTGCCGCATATATGAGACAGTTAGCAAGTAATACATTAGAATCTTTTTTTCTTATCACTTTTATATAATACTTACTTAAGTGAAACTATCAATATTTATGACAAGTATATATTTTTGAATAAAACAATTACATCTGAATTCAACTGTTAAATGCAACTTTATCTAGAATTTTTAAACAGTTCTTCAATATCTTTAAACTTTAATATACCCCAATATCTTTAAAATCAATTAAGTAGACTTTGACATAATTCTGTATAGATAATCCTATATGTGTCCTCGACTGACGTAGAGAAACTTACGAAAATATCATTTCTGCACGTTTAATATGCATTTATTATACAGAACATAATTCTATCATAAGAATCCATACTAAAATTTAGAAAGTTTTGAAATTTGACATATACATTCGAGAGAAATATATATTTAATGCATTAAAAATTGAACAATTTCTTATATTATTTTTTAATGTATTTCATGTATAAATATTGCTATTTTTATTTTGTATAATAAGACAATATTATTATAAAAAATATTTTAAAAAATATTATATATTTAAAATATTATTATTAAAGACTCATTTGACATAGCAAAAAAGATTGTTTTATACATATAAGTCTTAAATAGCTAAACATATAATTCCCTGTACTTTTGTCATATACCATAAACATCATACATGTTTAAAAATTGTAAAAAGGATTGAAATTGTTAAATAGTATGTAAATGTTTTAAAAACATTTAAAAACTTTTGTCTTATTGTAAAACCACTATGATAGAACAGAATCATATATAAAATGGATATATACTCACCAGTTAATACTACTTTTCCTGAAACAAATATGAGCAGTACAATTCGAGGTTTGACCATCCTATATATTAAACCTGGAAATAGCTCTGGTTCATACGATGAGAATTGTCCATGAGAGAGTACTAAACCCTCCAATCTAATTGGAAACTTTACATCACAGCTGCCAACCATATTTTGGATTTTGAAATCTAAGAACTTTGCCTAAATAAAATCATAATTATATCAAAAAAAGAGACAATATTTACTATTATTATTAATTCCTTAATTGCTAAGAAATAAAAACATTTTGTTATCAAACTTCTATAAAAAAATTAAAATGTAAAGAATTTATGTATTTGATTTTTTTTGTTAGGTTTTTAGGTTTTGGATACTAAATTAAAATATAGAAGGAGATAAAGGGAGCAATCAAGGGATAAGAAAAGATAAGAAAGAATAAGAAAGCGATTGAAATAGATGGAATACTGGGGGAAGTTTGGTAATATAGAAGGGGGTAGAGGAATGGGTAGAGGTCTGTGAAAGGATATAAAATGGGGAGGAATAACTGAAAAAATGGAAAGAAAGAATAATAATATCGAATAATATCGACAGTTAAAAGAAAGAAAGAAAAGTTAAGAATTACAAGGTATGACGATAATGATTGCCCTATACAAGGTGCATCCGATGATTTTGACCGAAAAACTGGGACCGAAGAAAGTAGTGACAAATAGAGACAAAAGAAATATTGCTATGTAATCAGATGGGATTCAGGAAAGAGATGGATACCGTGGACAATACATATATAATAAATTATTTAGTGAACAGAAAACTATATCGAAGAAAAAGAAAAAGCTAATAGTGCTGTTTATAGATCTAAAGGCGGCATTTGACTCAATAGATAGAGGGAAACTGATACAGTAACTAATAAAAGAAAGAGGGATTAGGGAAGGACTGATTAAAAGAAACGCAGGGAGACAAGATCAAGAATTAGAATTGGAGACAGGGATGTCTATTGAGCCCGATGCTGTTTAATATAATATATGACAGCTGATATAAAAGAAGGAATGAGAAAAGGAAAATGGGGAGAGTACAGTTGGAAAGGAAGAAAATATACACGCTAGCATACGTGGACAATATGGTTTTGTTAGCAGAGAAGGAGGACGAGATGCGATAAGGATAATTTTAATTATAGTTATAAGTTAACAAAGAAAAAAGATGCGAAAAAGTGCGATTGTAAAAAATTATAACCCAGAAGGGATTAATTTAATAAACCATTCTATTCTATTCTATTGGAATTCCATGTTGGAATTCTATGTTGGAATTCTAAATCCTAATGTAACAATTTCAATATATTTTATATGAAATTATGTATTTTCAGAAAAAATAATTCAGAATCTTTAATTTAAAAGTCTAAATATAAATTTTTTAAATTAATACAAATTGAAAGACATTTCGAGCCATCGCTGGATGTTAGTGCAAGAATTATTAATATTTTTCATACAGAAAATTGATTCGTCTACTAGAGACATTATTAAAGTGTACATGGTCACACTAATGCCTTAACGCATGAAGTTGCACAGGTGTCAAGGCATATCGAGTCGGCGTGTTCCGACTCTACATATTTTTACATCATGACTGGTTATGAACATAACGGCAATGCTATTTTGGCTATTTCAAAGCAACTGGAGCAATTGACAAATAAAGGTTAATATTTATAAAGGTTAATATTTATAATATCAATCAATTGCTCCAGTTGCTTTGAAACAGTCAAAACAGCTTTGCCGCTGTGTTCATAACCATAATCATGATGTAAAAATATGTAGAAATGTCGGAACACGCCGACTCGATATGCCTTGACACCCGTGCAACTTCATGTGTTAAGGCATTTGTGTGACCTGGTCTTAGAACATATATACTGAACATTGAGTAAAAAGAAACAGGAGGAAGCATATACTAGCCAGGACTAGGTAAATCCGCGGACGGATGTACGTCATGGCAGCCATCTTGAGCGACCACTTTTTGAAAGTGAGAGGAAATGCTCGAGCATAGCGGCAAACGGCATACCGTACGCCGTACGCATTAATATGCAGTGTATAGTCTTTTATGCAACAGTGTATGGAAATAAACGATCAAAATGGTATACTGTAGAGCTTGTGGCATAACAGCAGTAGCTCGAAATCATGGAATAACGTTTCATCGGTTAGTATTATCAACAATAATGAGATTTTTATTTTGGAGATTATAATCATATGTATAGTATTGTGAAATTGTAGATTCACAATAATTACTAAATAATTTTCACTCACAAACAGGTTTCCAAAAAATCCGGATCAAAGAAATGCATGGATAAATTTTTGTAAGGACGAAGGATTTAATATAAATTTAGATTT